CTCCCTCTCTCTCCCTCTCTCTCTCCCTCTCTCTCTCCCTCCCTCCCTCCCTCCCTCCCTCCCTCCCTCCCTCTCTCTCTCTCTCTCTCTCTCTCTCTCTCCCTCTCCCTCTCCCTCTCCCTCTTCCTCTCTCCCTCTCCCTCTCCCTCTCTCTCTCCCTCTCCCTCTCTCTCTTTCAGTAATAAACAGATATAGGAAGCAAAGGCTTCATAAAACAGCTAATCTATTGACGGGTAAAGCAGACATCAGTCCAGGCTCAATTAAAGTAAGATGACATGTATTTGTAATAACAATTAGGAGTAGTATGTGACCAGGCCTTTGTTACTGTGTGCATGTACTGATGCTATCACTTTTTGTAGTATAAATAATATAGTGTGGGCTTCTGATTACTGTTATTGCCCATGTGAATGAGGGTCAGGCTGGTGACTCAGCAGTATAGCAACAAAACATATAGAGTTTGGTGCTTAATAAAACTGCCTGTGTTGTGATTAAGACTTCCTTATACAGTGTTCACAGCAGATATCCATGAGAAAATGTTCTTTATGTATCATGTTAATGTTGACATAAACAGGGATCTTGTGTGTGTATACACAATTGACCTTCATATACTCTTATCTTTCTTACACACACCTTGAACATAATATGGTACATGATACAGGCATCAGATCATCCTGAAGGAGAAGAAATGAAGATAGTGTCATACTGGCATCCTAACATAACAGTGAATGTAGTGTATGATGAGAATAGGTTTGTGAAAGATAAAGTCCCAGCACCACTTGATAAGTGTAAGCCACTTGATCAGTAATGATTGTATAGTAATGATTGCACTCTTCTCTCTCCCCCTCTCTCTCTCTCTCTTTCTGTAGATATTCAATTCAATGAGTCAGGTACAGGGTATTCACCAATTGTGTACATTAATGATTACTGGAATCTTGCTACTGAATACATGCCAATGAACAATACTGTCAAGTATGCATGTGCTTTTATCCTATCATGACATTACTACACTCTAACTTCTACACATATGTACATGTTAACTTCTACACATATGTGCATATTGCATTAGAAAACAAAATAAACAAAACACTGAATTGAATTGTGCATTTTGTGTTTTCAAAAACTATTATGTAGGTAAGGTCATTTTAGTAAACATGGGCTGTTTGTTATGATTGTCCATTAAAATAGATATTACATGTATATGATCCAATTCCTCTTATTATCTCCCTTATGAGTGCCACATGTACATGTGGTCTCTTATTTACTCTTATTCTCTTAGGGAAGCCACATTCCACCTCTCTTATACTCCTCTCTCATTCTTTCGGTTTCAACTCTATGCTTCTATGACAAGGGACAACCCTTGGGCCCAGTGGCTAGGACAGCCAGACCAATCTGATGAGGACCAGGATACACTGAAGGTACATTGCAAGATTTACTGAGATATACTAAGATATACTGTTGTGTAGGAGACACTGCTGGACACTAATCCTTATCTGCTGGGACTAACTGTTATTGTCAGCATCATTCATTCTGTTTTTGAATTCCTTGCTTTCAAAAATGGTACTATAAATAATTTGATTTGTCCTATATGCATCCTTCCCTTTTGCTCTTCTCTCTCCCTCTCTCTCTCTCTCTCTCTCTCTCTCTCTCTCTCTCTCTCTCTCTCTCTCTCTCTCTCTCTCTCTCTCTCTCTCTCTCTCTCTC